ATACGCCAGTCAATCGCTGCGGTTCGGCGATTAGCATCCACAGGATGTCGGATGCGAGTGCATACAGTATGATGGTGAGGATAAGGCTCTTTAGCCCGGAGGTGCATGCTAGCCCCGTCACATGCGGACACAGACTTATTGTATGCTAATGGTATGCATTAAGCCGCATACGGATGCCTAAGGTCTGTACCATGAATATTAGCGACACCCACGTGATCCATCTCTCACGAATCTAGTGGCTACGTGTACTCTGAAAACGGATGTCATTCGATGCCCCTACCCAAAGCCCATAAGCCATTGCTGTTGCACCTATACACATACAACTGGGCTTCATCTCTTGTAAGCTAGCACTGTTCATATTTTCACTCCGCCACATTAATGTGAACGTATTAATCACAGTCGTAAGATGCGTTACTCTTATGTTTACCTGTTTACTTAATTTGCCTTCACCTATTGGTACTTTTTTATTTCTATAGCTTATCCTACATCAATCGTTTTCTCCGATTGGAGTCCACCTCGCGTTTCAATCGCCCTTCCTCCTCCCTTAACGAATCTGCCCTCACACGAGAATCTTCACCGGAGGGAAAGAATGATCAGGCATCCGAGCGTGTTTCTGCTTGCCGTCTTTCCCTGCCCGTCTTGATGTTCCCTTCTTCATGGGAATGTCTTTTCCTAGTCATCAGTCTCTTGGTAACCCTCGTTTCAGAGGTTAGTTTTCATATTCGCCGAATGATTTGGCTCTCTTCTATTCATTACCCAACTTTTATATAACACAGGTAACTGTAGTCCTTGATCTTACTTTCATCGTAAGTAGATTTGTCAAACACGATCACGTTCGCTTTCAAATCGAATCGCGGCTTGATTATCTATTACCGGTCGACTGCCGCTTACTTTGGCATTCCTGTGCGTCAACAGAGGAGCTCAGTTTCAGTCCACTTAACCAGCTGGGCTCTGACACCTAGAAACCATGGATTCAGCTGTCATAGTAAGGAGAAACAACATCCCAATAGGTCCTGCTTGCAGGCGAAATCCAATGACAAAAGATAAGCTTATTCAATAAAAAGCTTAGACTTTCCAACCATTGATTTCGCTGGTTCTGAGGCTCGTACGCACGACGTCAGCATGTACAATCCTATTTATTAATTAAGTGTTTTGTGGACGTCGTCCGCTGAATTCCCTATAGCTTCCCAAATTTAGACAGCATTGACAACTGTTGCAGACCAAAGTGGGTTGGCAACCCTTTGACCTAGATGTTCCATTCCGACTTGATTTTTAAATTCTTCGCACTGCCTTCAGTCATTCGCCCCTGGATAATCCGGACTTCCAGTCACTTGCATTATCTGAGGAGGTGCTGTGCTAATGGTTGCTTCAGCTGCTTATACCTATGTTGTACGAGTTATCTGTCCCAACCAACTAGTGGGAATCGATCATGGTTGCCCCAATTAAGGGGCCAGTCGTAGGGTGTTCCAATCACAGTGATTCTGCCTTGACGCTTGTGGTGTTCACCTAAGTGCCGCGTACTAGGGGCGCACCCTTGTTGCGTTGACCAGAATGGAATTACATCGACCGCTTCACTCTACAGCGCATTATACAGCAGCGTCACATATACTCCAGACTGTTAGATCTTCTATCTTGTCCGCGATTCTGAATAAAACACTCAACTTGCAGTTCAATCCAAGGAAAAGTCGGCAGTTATCTTGACAATAAACGTGTTAATCACTGCCCAAGACCACTGTGCAACTGTGGTAGACTTTGCCCGTTTTTATAGATCATCTAATGACCTTTGACTTCTGCAATAGAAAGATCACCTGTAAACATTGGCAGTGTCATACCGGTCCAGCCAATCTACAGGATATTGTCTCATCACGTGCAGACTTGGAAAATATCAGAATGTTCGAACTCAGTGTGATCATCATCATCATGAATAGCATTCAATCGGCCATTTGGATTGACGCTTCGCTGCCGCACAACTACGGTGACCTAGGGAACGAAGAACAATAAGAGGTAGAGAGGGGAACTTACCGGAAAACCTTAATGCCCTAACCAAACACTGAGTCAAGGCGCCTACACCTGGTCAACAACCAACCGTCACAAACAGTTCACTATCGTGCTAAGATAAGACGGCATCGGCGGGAAGGCTTCCTTGGAGCTTTCATTGCCCTGCGTCATTATCAGCCATTGCTCCGCAGATAGCAGGGCGCCAAACATAATTTAAACAGGCAATACGACTACGAGATGACAGCAGACAGGCCACTGTGCGTGTTGCGAGCCATGCCCTGTAACGTCTCAAACCAAGCACAAGGCGAGTCACATGGACTCCAGTCTGGAAGACGAGACGAGTTTGGCCGTCAGCGATTTCATTTCCGGCTTCCAAATTGATTTTGCCCACTTCAGACCTTGCACCACTCTACATCTGTCAAGCAAAACAAGGCCCTCCTGGGTAGGCGGTAGTACGTGCCGTAGCCAACGTAACATATTCATAACATAACATATCTTTGTCTTAAGGAACTAGCTTGATTACTAACGCCTAGCGCTTGCTTACGCACATCATCGTTGCGGACACGCTGGTGACATCCGACACCAGCAATACTTCGCGAACATCGGTGATCAGAACTTGAAGGTGCCGCTGGTTCCCAGATCGTAGGGGCCAAGTCACACTCCCGTTGAGCAGGGTAGCTCTCACTGTTGTAAACACGGTCTTTTAAACGGAGGGAAATCCCTTTCTGCTGCCAAAGGTGTCGCAGATTCAAGAAGGCAGTTCTGGATTTTGCACTACGTGTACGGACTTCATTTGCTATACGCCCATTGTTGCTGATACAGCTGCCAAGATAAGTGAATTGATCAATTGTCTCGAGTTCCTCGCTATCTAGGATCATTAGATCATCAAGTGGCTGGTGGTCCTGTAGCAGCAATTCGTAGATGCGAAGCGCATGTCAATTGATGGGACCACTTTAGAGAGGTCATTCGGGGTGGATTGCGTTGCCCCCACTGAAGAGATGCCTTCAGACTGGCGACTGTCAACTGTCGTGCCCATTTTCAAAAACGGTCCGTGAACTTTACGAAAGTCATCAACGCATTAGTCCTATGTCTGTTGCCGGCCCGTAGCCTAATAGTAACAAGCTTGTCTTGTAATGTGACGGCGCAGGTTCGAGCCTGCATAGCGGCAGAGCCATCCTCGCAGTATCCTTGGCCCATGTGTGACCGGTGGTGGTTGCGCAGCAGCGAAGCTTTGGTGCTGCGTACCGGCGTACTGCTGATCCCTTTTATTCTATAAGACGCTTCCTAGGCGGTAGCCTGCTTTCTCTACTTTAATCCGTGATTCTCGCTCTGCAGTCAGACGACGAACGAGAATTGAGGCCAGTACTTTTGTCACCTCCTTCGTTAGGCTAATGCCCCTTTTGTTTGCACAATCAGAAGCCTAGTGATGGGGACTGGGAGGGGATTAAGAGAAATATCTGGGAAAAAAAGAAGGGAGGTACCTGCAATATCATATTTTTGCTTATCCGTCCTGCTGTATGCGGCAGATAAAGCGGCCCTTTACAAGCTGCGCAATGACCGATGCAGGATGTGGTTGCGATTTGAAGAAATAGTCATGGTTGTACGTGGGCTGATATTACCAAGATGCACAGACCTAGACAGGAGAACAGTTAGGGTCGTCAATCAAGCCTTGACTCAAAAGCCTGTCCGCAATGTAGCGGATGTGGCAACAATTCGGTTCTTCAGAAGCGGACGCCAGCCCTTTCAAACTCCCAGCATGGATGACCAAGAGACTGAGTTAGCCTGACCTCTAACCATTGACCAACCTGATAACAGTGGCTCTCCATATGCTCAATTGATCAGAACGGTACGCAAACCGTCGCACCACGTTAAGGTCCAATATCGTTGCGATGGACTAAGTGCGATAACGGACGCTAACCGACCAATCACTGAACTAATTGTTCTTCCGAGAAATTTCTACCTTCTTCCGGTCACCCCTCCCGGAACAACAGCCGCGATGTATGATAAGAGCCCTGGGTTGACTTTTAGTCTTCTGGACGACGTTGTGTCCGTCGGTTCATCGCCCCAACTGCGGTGCTCTGGAAACGAGTTCCGTGGTCCGGCTTCTTTGCTCGACCGACAGCGGGCTTCCACGGGCTCCTTTGGCAAGTTGAAGCTGTCAACCAACTATTCAAACGGCAGACCCATCGATTTTGTTGATTCTGGCTCACACAGCTTTGACCGTAACTGGTTTGTATGCCTAGCTTAGATCTGGGTTCTAATAAGCATGTTATGGATTACATTTCTCTTACTTTTGGTTATGCCTGGCGTCCATTTTGCTTGGCCTCCCCGGTAGTCGCTGGTTGCCCTGACTTAAACTCTTTCTGCTTTACCCCATTCTGTCGGTTAAAACTGTTCCATTTTGCGGTTCCTTTCACCATCTGAGGGTTCTGAAGGCTGTCGAATGACATGGAAGGGTGTAGGAGGCCTTGTTTTCATTACAGCCTCTGCCAGCGAAGCTCCATCCTACGCTTGTGGATTCGATGTGGATCTGTACAAAGAGAGTAACTGATCGACCCCCCATATGACCCTCACCAATTGATTTGAGGAGAGCGCATTTGAATGCACCCACAAACATCTCCGCTTGGTCGTTAGATTGTGGATGGAATGGCAGAGAACGAACCTGCCTGATGGTGCAGCATTTACAGAATTCCGTGAATGCGGCCGAAGAAAAATGTGTTCCGTTATCTGTCGCCTGTGTTTCTGAGCAGCCAAATCGGATGCAAATTTGTCGCAGCCTTGGGACCGTTACGTCGGTCGTCGGGCTGTTCATGAGGAACAGTACGGGCCATTTACTGTAGGAGTCAGCAACAGTGAGAAATCTTTGACTGTTGTTGTGAACACGACGCCGTGGTGTCGTTGATTTATGGTCATGAATGTAGCTCCGACTTCCATGGTGCCTTTGCAGCGGTAGCACAACTGCAGCAACTTTAATTACCTGTTCCAACTGCCTCTCCATAAACGGCCAGTGCACAGATTCGGGTGAACGCCTTCATCTGGTTGGTACCGGGATGTTCCGCATGGAACTGCCGGAATACCCTCTCTTGCAAAGTCTGCGGGATGAATACGCTCTTTGAAAACAAGATGCAATGGTTCACAATGAAGGGTGAAAACGTGTTATTGTTACTAAGACAAGGTATTGAATCCCTACGCAGGGTCCATCTGTATCCTCCTTTCAATCCTCACTGCCGGAGTCATCTGATGTAAGTTATGCGCTTACCGTTGATAATTGTGGCTTGGGATCTTTATCAAAGTTTACTGGCGGCTCCCTACACTTTTTGGTGGACAACTTTGTCAGGTATTTATCGTTGCTTGCAATAGATCTTTCGGTTATTTGAGGAGTAGGAATCTTATTCATCTTCTCAGGCACCCCATCTTATATTTAGTCACAGGCTTATCTTTTCTGATCGCTCATCCCAGTATTCAACCATTCTGTCGATTTTCTGCCTCCATTGCAACGGAGATACGCTTTCTACTTTTCCCTCTTTCCTGTTTTGCCCTTGTTAGCTTTCCGTAAACAAGACGCGATTGATCTCATCCCTAGTAGTTCTTCTCAGACATCATAAGCCGAGTTGTATTGAATACGCTTGAACTGTTTGAAGGTTTATTACATTCATTGTCTTATTGTAGCAGATACCCACCTATATTTTTGCCCCACTTTTGTTAGCGGTCACTTGTTGACGCATCCGTCGTCTCATTAACATCCCTAGTTAACGTTTATTCACCTTGCTATTTGTTTTATCCCATTCTAGTCATTTTTGTGCTGCTCCTCTGGAGTTCTCTTGGCCAGCCTCCATGCTCTCGTTACCACACTGCTCCTTGGTATCACTCTATATGTGATGCACCTTGAGGAATCTGATTTGATCGGGACGCTGCAGAATGAAATATTCCACCGAAAGACTGCTTAATCTCACTCTCGTCTTTGCGGAACCATTCGATCTGTTCACCGGCTTTTCTCCCAAGTCCACGCCAATTTATTTTCTTTTGGCTGCTATTCTTGTCTCATTTCATCCTCCTGCTCCTGACTGTTCACTGCAACGCATTGCCGAAAGCATGCACCACCATATTGTGAACACGCTAGCTGTTTCAAACAGCTGATGTATTGTTTTCATACCGTAAGCCCAATGTGATGTCATCTATGTGAAGAACTCTCCCGCGGACCCTACGGCCGCCTAGCAGCCCATATATTTTCGTTTTACAAAACAAATTCCAAATGTTCCCATTTTTCGTTCTCCACTTAAGGTGTGCGTTATTTCAGCGTTCCCTGATTGTGACAACGCGTTGCGATGGTGGTTCCTGTGGAGTATACTTGCTCTCATATCCATGGTGACCGTGGTTACTGGCACCGCGATCTTCTAGCACATCGGAGTACCCTGGTAGAGAACGCGTTTACTTGCCTACCTATGACTTTCACCGTAGCCTGACCGTCTGCCACTGGCATGCACCGGTTCTGGTCACATGATGGCGTGCATCGCTTAGCTTGTGGACATGACATGATTTGCGCTGATGGTAAACGATATGGTTGCCTTTCACTGCGGGACGTTTTCTTTCACGACTCCAGTCGATAATGTTCTTTTAGTCATCAAGGGCAGGTGTGTGCTCAGGTGCACAACGCACCCACTCTCAACCGTGGAAACATAGATTAGTTATTGTAAGCGAATGCCGGTGAAAAGTTGTTGTAGTATAAGTAGCACTCTATTGAATAGAAATAGACTCAAACCAAACCATGGAAATCACTGGAAGAAGATACGCTTAATCAACACATCGTTATCATGACACGTTAGCTGAAGAAAAGCAATACGCTTCAGCTATTGTGCCTCGACAAAAGAAAAAACGGCCCATTTTTGCTATTTTGCACACGCCATTTTTTCTCATTTTATCCTTTTCAATCATTAAGCATCTAAATCTAAACAATTATGTACACAGATCCTTCACTGGTTGTGATAACGAGCCATATCTTGAATTGCCTCCAGGCATCGACACTCTTCGTCCTTTGGTCCCAAACCAGGCAGTCGTGTGGATCCGACAGTGGCAAGACTTGAAGTTAACGATTTCATATGCTGTCGCCAGGTGGACGGCTGACCGCTACGTGGTCTCTTCCAGCCAAGTCCTGCACGAGCGAAAATCGTGCAGTGGGGCAAATTCTCAGCTGACCTACGCAGAACTTGATCGAGCCATCTTAACTGACGCACCAAACCGGCTTATTGAATGGAACACTCGCATTCCCCAAGACACGACGTTTGACTTCATTGTAGCAAATACGCTGTTGCCACCACATGGGAGCAGTCATTCTCAAGCACCCATTGTCGAAGGTCGAGAGCTGACGCATACCTTCTACGTGAACTGGCCATGGTTGGCGGCATCCGGTTTCGGATTTGCCTGTCACTGTGACCATCCACAGGACGCCTGCGCCTACAAAGGGACCATGGGTGCCTTTCGCTGCACCACCCATAGCTCCAACCACACACCCCATATCCAGTGTAAACCCGAAGGAATAAGACCGGGAGGCATATGGATGGGAGCCACGTTTCGTCAACGGAGCCGGCCCACTCTCCTTCACAGGCAAACACAAGCTCGCTGTATTTGGGGATCAGTCGCACACAGGGCGGTGGCTGGACCGTAGTCCGCTCCACACTGAGTGCATGGAACCACTCTTTGATCCTAACACGATCACAAGGACCGTGCACCCGGTCCTCTCAAGCAACGACCAACTGTCTCCTGGAGCCAGTATGGACGAGGTAATGGGTAATAGACAGGTAGGCACCTTGTCAACATGCACATCAAGCGCAGCCACACCGGGGATATCAAGCAACATCCAATCACTTGAAATAACAATATCAAATCAAATAAATTGAATAATGCATACAGATGCGGTGTCATAACTCTTCACGAAATAAACGTATGAAATAAGTTGTTTGCGAAAATTCCGCGAAAGGTTCAATACGTTAGAAAATATATTATAAGAAAATGCCACAAACGCGAGAATGTCGAAGTTCACTACAATTGGCTTAAGCGATGTGTGCAAGGTTATAGAAAATAGTTCAGGTAGACACACGACTTTCCAGCTTGCCTAATGCTGCAGTCGCCTTCAATAGGCGGATGGGCAGCTCGTTCATCCTCTGCAGGTCAGTTAATATTACGCCTCCAAAGTAGCACAATTCCGGTGCCTCATTGGCAATCCAACCGATTCGGTTTCTGGTGAAGGCTGAAAAGGGCAGTGTTGCTTGTGTTGGTGGTGAGTCCGGATTTGGTCGCTGTCGAAGCCAGAGCATTACTCATATGCTGCAACTCATCCGTACTGTTTCCAAACAACGCACAGTCGTCAGCAACATATGGATAGTTGTTTCACAGACTAGGTTTCTCGCACCGAAACGACGGATTTTCAGTAACCCACCATCAATACGGTACTCTACACGAATACCAGAAGCACAAGCCACATCAAAAGCACATCATGGCATGAAGATAAATATTAAACATGGCAGGAGCTAAAACACAGCCTTGCTTCACACCAGAGACAACTGCAAAGTCATCCGAGATTTCCGCACTCTGTTGCACCCTCGCCTGCATACCAGCTTACTCGGACAACGAAACTTACCCAACACCAGCCACAATGCCTCGCGGTTCACCTCATCAAATGCGTTGATGAAATCAACCAACAGCGAGTACAACCACCGGTGTCGTTCCCAACATTTAACTTGCAACTGACAAGCCGCAAACACCATATCTATAGTGCTGCGACCCGAGCGGAATCCACATTGCTCTTCCGCCACGTTCGGTTCCACAACCTGACTGACGAGACGGTTGAGCAGAATTCGGGCAATCACCCTGCCCATACAATTCAGCAAGTTGATACCACGATAATTCGTGCAACATTGATTGCTCCCTTTGCCCTTGCACAGTGGTAGCACAAGGGCATCCTTCAGCTCAGGAGGCACCTCCTCCTCAATTCATACGAATTGCACCAAGTGGAGCAACGCAGTCACCAACGTGGGTCCGCGGTGCTTCAATACTTCATGTGGTATGCCGGCGGCCCCGACATACTTGCCGTTTTGCAGTTGAGCAAGTGCTCTCTGCGTCTCATCTAATGTCGGCGTTTCCGCCAGATTCACCTTCAACTGGTGCTGTGTCAGGCCGTTCAAATAGGCCAATCGATCTCTTAACGGTTGTTCAAGAGACAATCAAAGTGATTTTGCCAGATCTGCATTGTCTGCAGTCTGTATGCAGTTTGCACCTGAACTGCTATCGAGCAGTGTCTTCAGCGGCTCCAATCTCGGTCCATACACCGCCTTCAAGGAGTCAAAGGATTCCTTATATTGGCGGCGTTCGGCATAGCATTCCATCTGCTTCGCCTTCTCCGTCCACCATGCATTTTTTATGCGAGGAGCTCTCGGGTCAGTCGTCATCGAAGTTTGCGAAACTGACTCTTCTTCCCCAAGTCACTGAGGTTTGCCACATGTGCAGCAAATGCTGCACTCTTATCACACATCGTTGCGCCAATCGTCGCATTGTTGGCATCGAACCAATCGGGCCGCTTAGAGTTTGCGCGCCCGATGGTCTCCTCGGCAACAGCGGTCACCTGGTCGTGAATGTGGTGTCACAGTTCGCCCACTGTGACTATGCATTCCACATCACACAGTCTTGCAGCCGTCGTCTTCTCCAGCTCGATACGTTTCGGCACAGCACCGAGGGAAAGAATGCTAAATTTATGCCGATTCACGGCGGAAGTGCAATACATAGCTTTACGAAAATATATGTACACGTATGTATATATGTATGCATATTTCTGCGTGTCGAAGGCAGCGGCAGCATTCGGGTAGCTTGAGTACGAGTGTGGAACAACCATCAGCTTACCATTGGCACGAAGCTGATGGTGTACAAATCCATGGTGCTGTCCGTTCTTCTATACGGCAGTGAAACGTGGACGATGTACCGGCGGGATGTGCGATATCTCGAGCGGTTCCATCAGCAGTGTCTGCGACGGATTTTGTGCATCGGCTGGGGTGACAGAGTTGCAGACACGGAAGTGTTGCGCCGAAGTGGAATGTATGCAGTGGACTGCATACTTTTACTGCGACACCTGAGGTGGATCGGTCATGTGAGCCGTATGGATTCAACGCGGATACCGAAGAAGCTATTATATGGTCAGCTGAGTATTGGGAGACGGCACGTGGGGAAACCAAAGTTACGTTACCAGGACATGATTAAATTGAGCCTCACACGTTCTAATCTTGATTGCAGATCATGGGAATCGAAGGCGGTTGATCGGCATGCATGGCGCGATCTGATGACGAAGGCAGTTGCCGAAGTGCGGGAGAAAGATCTCATACATGCAGAGAAGAAGCGGCAAAAACCGATGGGTTGTACTCCATCGACATCGAACGCATGGTGCTGTAGCACATGCGGTCGCGAGTGCCTGAGTCAGGCAGGCCTAGTGAACCATGAGCGAGGCCACTCGGGACCACTACCGAAGCGACGACGGGTCCTGCAGAGAAGGTAGGCAGAACCGGCGCAGCGTTTGTAGGTACGCTGCATTTGATTTACTAACCGCGCGCTTGCATGCTGTCTCTTTATTTCAGGTGGTGGGTTTTCAATTTTGCCTTAATACTTTTCTTTCTCATATAAATGTCTACCTGTACTCTATTCCATTAACTTGCACACCTCGCTTAAGCCAATTGTATTCGATTTCCATAACATTTTTGTGTTCGTGGCATTTCCGTAAAGTATACTTTCTGACCTCGTTAACTTATCTAGGATTCGTTTGTAAACAACTTATTTCGTATGCTCATTATGTTTATGTCACCGTTTCCTTATGCATAAATCGAGTTATTTTCTCTGTATCTCTCTGTCAAGTGATTAGCTGTTGTTTGATATCTCCTGTGTGTCTGCGGTTGATGTGCATGTTGACAAGGTTCCTACCTGTCTATTACCCACTACCTCGTCCATACTGGCTCCAGGAGACAGTTGGTCGTTGCTGGAGGTGACGGGGTGCACGGTCCTTGCGGCCGTGTTAGGATCAAAGAGTGGTTCCATGCACTCAGTGTGGAGCGGACTACGGTCCAGTCACAGCCTTGTGTGCGGTTGATTCCTCAAATACAGCGAGCTTGTGTTTGCCTGTGAAGGAGTGTGGGCCGGCTCCGTTGATGAAACGTGGCTCCCATCCACATGCCTCCCGGTCTTATTCCTTCGGGTTTACACTGGATATGGGGTGTGTGGTTGGAGCTG